AGTTATGAATATGAATAGTTAGTATATGCCGTCCAGTTACTTTTTTGTGAAATAAAAAGGTAAAGGTTCCCCTCGCACCTATGTGCTAGTCAATCCTGACTCTAGAGGGCGGTGTTCATCTCCATTTCAAAGCTGAAGAGCCAGTGCTGTCCGAAGAGGTCTCCGTGGTCATGTGGCCGGCATGACTAAATGCCAAAGGTGCATATAACGCTGTTACCTTCCCACCAAAGATGGTTCCTATTTTTCTACTTGCATTTTTCACATGCTTTTGAACTGCTAGGTTGGCAGAAACTGGGACAAGTAATGGGAGCTCACTTTGTTACATGGCACTAGGGATTCGAACTGCGGAACCTCCTGATCGACAAGCTCAGCGTCTTAGCCACTGAGCCACCGTGTCCCATCTTTTGTGAGACAGGTGTCGGATAGGTAATAGTTGTTGGGCTAGATGATCTACAAGGTCCCTTCCAACTCTGTTAATCTGATAATTCATTTAGTCACTCTAATGTTAAAGTCAATTTTAGTTTTAAAAAGCAGGAGCAAATATAGTAAATAAATATTACCAATACATATTTCAAGCATAGGTATAGTTTTGGAGAAACCTAACATTTATCCTTCTTCCCTTAATATGTATGAGTTATAAGGGCCATGCCTACAAATCTATTTACTAATTATTTTAAAATTGGGTGAATTTCATGTAATAGATGAGTTTTGGGGGAAAGGACATTTGTTTTTTTTTAACTTTACTTGAATTACAAGTTGAAGAAGAAGCATATGATTATCCAAAAGAAGATTGTGAATATTTGTCAATACAAGTACTATGAGGGCTTGTGTACAGTCTTCAAATCACTGCCCAGGGGACTTTCAATATACCTTACTTGTGCGAATAAACAAATCACTGTGGAACTGAGAAAAAGTAGTATTAGGATAGAATTCTGTCCTTGAGAACTGGGCCACTTAATCTTAATTCTGAAAAATGAAAAGAAATGAAGAATACACTGTAGAATTGGGAGAAAATAAAACATAGTGTTGTATTTCTAGGGAATAAACTTAATGGTTACTTCATATGTTATATGAAAACATAAGAAATCCAAAAAAAAAATTGTACTAGGATCACTTGTAAATAAAAACATTATCCAAGAAAATAACTTTTAACATTTCATGTGTTCTCTTTAAAATACAAAGGAAGTAAAACAAAGACAAGTCATATACAATGAAACACACACACACTACATAGAAGTAAACTCTTAACTTCTCTCTTCCCTTATACAAATCTCTCCACATTATAAGGAACCTATTTAGGCAGATTCTGAAAAATGAATCAAACCATAGCCAGAAATAAAATAGAGCTTTTTATCTCAACCAAGGAGAATAAGAAAATAACTGAACTAAAATAAAAATCTAGGCTAGCATCACAATATTACTATCTTTTTCTCCCTCCAATAAAAAATCTATAATTTAGTTAACAAAAATATTAATATATTATAATAGAGGTTTAAACTATCAGCAACTAATTTATAACCGAGATATAGAATTTTTGGACTTAACTGAATTCTAGCAATTGCAGTCAGCCTTTCCACAAAAGTGCCAAGATCTGTGATTCAGGAGTATGAGGAGAGCCATCACATCTCCAATCACTAGCTTATGATCCATCCTAGCAAAGAATTAGACCATATCATGGCTTGAACTATCACATAACAATATTAATTGGGAGCATTCCAACAATTTTATTATTTATTTATTTAATTTATATTGGCGCCTATTTGCCCATGGCAACTCAATTTGTTTTACATTTTTTCAAGTTATCTGCTAGCTAATAACTAATGTTTATGTTTACATTCCCTTCTATAATCCTGTAGAGATTTGGGGCATGGAATTATACTTATTCTTACATTAATTATAATTAATGCAATTATAATTATTCTTACATTAAGAACAGAAAATTTAAAAATAAACTACTTTGAATTTAACTTTTGCTGTGCTGAAACAATAAACAAGGAGAGGAGTAACTTAGGTTAAACTGTTTGATCAAGTTTTGCTAGGACATTTTTTTAGAAACATACCCATCTGATAATTCAAGATTATTTAACCTAAGCAATTTTATCTTCTTGACATCTTCCATTGATCTTTTATCCATTAAAGCCTCCAGAAAATATAAAGTGAAGACAGCCTATTTCACCCTATCCCAATCTGGTACCATTGTATCTAGATATATGTTACATTTCCGATACTACAGGTAGTTCTTAACTTACGACTATTGAGCCCAAAAATTATGTTGTTAAGACGTTTGTTAAGTGAATTTTGCCTCATTTTATGACATTTCTTGCCACAGCTGTTAGGTGAATCATTGCAGTTGTTAAGTTAGTAACCTGGTTGTTAAATGAATCTGGCTTCTCCGTTGACTTTGCTAGTCAGAAGATAGCAAAAAGTGATCACATGATCCTAGGACGCTGCAATAGTTGTAAGTGTGAATCAGTTGCCAAGCATCTGAATTTTGATCACATGCTCATGGGGATCCTGCAGTTTGTAACTATGAAAAATGGTCATAAGTCATTCTTTTCAGTGCCATTATAACTTTGAATGGTCACTAAATTAATTGTTGTAAGTCGAGGACTACCTGTATTGTATCTAGATAAATGTTATATTTATCAGCATTTCTAACTGTCACAGATAAAAATGAAAACCCCAACATATCTGGAGGTCTATTCAGCAGTCTCCAAACTTGGCAATTTTAAGATTTGTGGACTTCAACTCCCAGAATTTCCCAGTCAGCATGGCTGGCTGNAACTTAATGGTTACTTCATATGTTATATGAAAACATAAGAAATCCAAAAAAAAAATTGTACTAGGATCACTTGTAAATAAAAACATTATCCAAGAAAATAACTTTTAACATTTCATGTGTTCTCTTTAAAATACAAAGGAAGTAAAACAAAGACAAGTCATATACAATGAAACACACACACACTACATAGAAGTAAACTCTTAACTTCTCTCTTCCCTTATACAAATCTCTCCACATTATAAGGAACCTATTTAGGCAGATTCTGAAAAATGAATCAAACCATAGCCAGAAATAAAATAGAGCTTTTTATCTCAACCAAGGAGAATAAGAAAATAACTGAACTAAAATAAAAATCTAGGCTAGCATCACAATATTACTATCTTTTTCTCCCTCCAATAAAAAATCTATAATTTAGTTAACAAAAATATTAATATATTATAATAGAGGTTTAAACTATCAGCAACTAATTTATAACCGAGATATAGAATTTTTGGACTTAACTGAATTCTAGCAATTGCAGTCAGCCTTTCCACAAAAGTGCCAAGATCTGTGATTCAGGAGTATGAGGAGAGCCATCACATCTCCAATCACTAGCTTATGATCCATCCTAGCAAAGAATTAGACCATATCATGGCTTGAACTATCACATAACAATATTAATTGGGAGCATTCCAACAATTTTATTATTTATTTATTTAATTTATATTGGCGCCTATTTGCCCATGGCAACTCAATTTGTTTTACATTTTTTCAAGTTATCTGCTAGCTAATAACTAATGTTTATGTTTACATTCCCTTCTATAATCCTGTAGAGATTTGGGGCATGGAATTATACTTATTCTTACATTAATTATAATTAATGCAATTATAATTATTCTTACATTAAGAACAGAAAATTTAAAAATAAACTACTTTGAATTTAACTTTTGCTGTGCTGAAACAATAAACAAGGAGAGGAGTAACTTAGGTTAAACTGTTTGATCAAGTTTTGCTAGGACATTTTTTTAGAAACATACCCATCTGATAATTCAAGATTATTTAACCTAAGCAATTTTATCTTCTTGACATCTTCCATTGATCTTTTATCCATTAAAGCCTCCAGAAAATATAAAGTGAAGACAGCCTATTTCACCCTATCCCAATCTGGTACCATTGTATCTAGATATATGTTACATTTCCGATACTACAGGTAGTTCTTAACTTACGACTATTGAGCCCAAAAATTATGTTGTTAAGACGTTTGTTAAGTGAATTTTGCCTCATTTTATGACATTTCTTGCCACAGCTGTTAGGTGAATCATTGCAGTTGTTAAGTTAGTAACCTGGTTGTTAAATGAATCTGGCT